CACAACGTAAACAAGCAAAACCAAAAGCTCAGATCAGGCACAAAAACTCCAAGTATCAAACAGTTCTGCCAGGTCTCCTTTATTCTCAGCACATCTTTATTTGTAGATATTACAGCAGAAAATCTAAAAACAATCCTCCCACGCTGCAGCTCTCTGGACCTTTAAATAAATGCAACAGGATCTAAAGACTCTTAAAGGAAATACATAGTTCGTGGGTGTTCCTGTAACAATAACTTATTTACATGTGAATAATCTTCGGGGGTGTAGCTGCACGTTTCACTACATCTTCTTTATTGACATTTAAAGGGCACAAATACATTTATTGATAACCTCGACCTCAGGAGCAAACCTCTGCGCCGGAGCGACCTCGGGCTGCTCACGCCCCCGGCTCGTACACACCTGTTTGAGGAACTTGGGGTTGACGTGGATGCTGGCGTTGACGGTGGGCGGCAGCGGCTTGATGGGCCACGCCGGGTCCACAGAGTTGACCTTCACGTCAAGCGCGTACAGCTTCTTGGGCGGGAACACGTCGTCCCAGGTGGAGCGCAGCTTGAACAGGGACTTTCTAGTGTTTTCGTCCACCTACAAACAGAGGACAGCGCTTGGTCCACAGCCACCAACATCACACTGTGCACAGCTGTTAGTCCACTTCAAAACATCAGCTAAAGTCCTAAAGCCTCCCTCCAGCTTTCATTAGCAGTACGTTACGCAGTAAGACAGGAGCAGAGTGCAGGAGACTACACAGAAGAAAGCAAGCAACAGGACAAACAGGAGGGAGTGCGAGGGCTGCTAACATGTCACTGCTTAAATCTTAACAAGGCCAAACGGCAGCAAAGAGAACTGTACCTTTTCAAAGACACATATAAATGAAGGGATTAGGTTTTTAGCAAACACTGCAAGGTATTCTCCTCCAACATTCTTCACTATGGAATCCACTAAGTACAAAACTGGAAGCTTCTCGCTGGGTGGGGCCTGGAGCAAGAGAACTCGACAAGTTTAGAAAACAAACAGGGGTTAAAAGCAACATTTCAGAATAAAAGCTCACAGTACACCTGCCCCGCCCCTCAGCACCCAAAAACGTGGAAAAAGTTCAAAAGGTCAAGAACTGCAGGAAAACATCTCAGTCCCAGTCAGTCCGTGCGCTGCTGCGTCTTCACAGGAGAAAAAGGAAAAGTCATCTTCACGAGTCCACTCAGCGTCTGCGAGTTACAAAAACGAGTCTGTGACGCCGCCGGGCTTCAGTCCAGGAGCCGTTTACCTCCAAAGAGGGTTTGGAACCTCCCACCGCTCTTTGTACGTTTACCCAGAAGGCTCGTCTTCGAGGTGACTCCACCCCCAGTGAGCTTTATTCCCCCTCACACCTCCACTTTGACCCCCCACATCTTTAAGCCCCCCCCCCTCCCTCAGTGTGTGCAGTAAATGAAACCAGAGTCATGCCAAGAAATTACACTGGGAAATAAAAAATGACAAAAAGCACATTTCACATTTTTTATTATAAACATTTTAACCATTCAAATCACATTTTTCAAGAATTCAAGATTCACTCGAGAATTAAATCAAGTGTCATGCGACCAGAAGCTGAGTGTAAAGTGATGGCGGGCGGAGGGGGTGTTGAAGACGCCCCGTTAATCAATGACCCGACACTGATAACACACAACAGATCAGACTGAAACCATTCAGAGACACTGATGTGGTCTGAGCTCAGAGCAGGACTGCAGACGGTCAAAATCCACCAAAAACTCGAGCCGCTAATCCTCAATCAGACCAATGTGACGAGCTCTTGATTGAAACCTCAAGTGCTCCTGCAGAGGAAAGTTTGACTGTTTACCAAAGCTTTGTTCAACACGTGCACAAACTCACACTTCTAAAGGAGGACTGTGACACCATCAGCACAGCAGTTATTCATTTACAGACATCAGCAGCGACACTTCAACACGTCACTTCTATGAAATCTGTCCTTGGTTTAAAGTCAAACTGCTGAACCTGGTGTGAGGAGTTTCGGCCAAATCAACGTTTTTATTCTGTTTCTTTATTAAACAAAGTTCAGACACTCCTGAGCATCAGCCCGAGACCAGCAGGGCACAAACTGGAGACATCACCAGGAGTTCAGGAGAGCTACTGTCCGACTGAGGCCAGAAATAACAGCGCGGTGATTTCCTCTGTTCAGTAAAGTGACTCAGATTTACTTCCCCGGCTCTATGTGGCCTCATCCTCTGTGTTAGTAACCCAGAGAAACAAGACTTTCAAAAAACATCCGTTTTGTGAATTTAGTATTTTTTAATTTTAAGAGATAATCATCAGCCTGAACTTTAATCTAGGTTTTAAAGCCGCCTCGTGTAGATTTTGGCTCTTTCCACGTGTCAGAAAGTATTCTGTCGCTGCAGTTGTTTAAATAAAGTTGGTTTAAACAAACCACCTTGGCAACAAGCTGAACCAAAGTTAACGTCCCGCTAAAGTGCCGACTTCTTGTCTACTGACGTCTACTGACGTTTACGCCACATAAAGAGGAAAACGCAGAGCGAACGGTAAAGACGGACTGATTTAAGGTGGGCTGATTTAAGGTGGATTTCAACTCCAGACCACATCGAGTACCTACAGTGAGTAATGGCGTGCTGCTGAGTACAATAAAGAATAAATGGTCGGTTCACTTTAATACACACAGTTGTTCAAGAGTTGGCTGAATGCGGAGCTAGCAGAACAGACAGCTGGATGTTTTCAGAGACCGTTACCGCGGCCGACCTCGCCGCCATGTTCAGCTAGCAGCTAACTACATACATCGACAGCAAACATCTCAGTGTGAAAGTATTCTATATTCATAAAAACCTTGCTTATTTGTGCTTCAATAATTTCCACGATATCCTTGGCGAAGTTGATGTTTTCCTCGGCCAGGATGGTCAGCATGTTGATGTGCGGCTTGCTGTTAAACGTCAGGTCTTCGAGGGAGGACTGGTACTCCCGGCAGGCGTCTTCCCTCGCCGCGCTGTCGTCCATCTTTGAGCTGAGACACTCGGCCAAACCTAAGCGAGTCTTACCGAAACCATAACCACTGATCAGCAGGCAGTCCATGAACTCATACGGCTAACTGTTCGTCCCGGACTTGTTGAGAAATCACGCCGGTTCGGGGGTATATTTCAGCCGTCTTCTGTCGCAGTTCAGTGCCCTTTCAACGACCACAAGAAAATGGCGACTGTAACTGAAGGATGTCTACGTCACGTTGAGGTTTTTATAACAGTCGTGACGTCAGTGCAGTGTCATTGGCTGGTTTTAGCCCGCCTTAACTTGGGTTTTCTTTGCGATTAGTTGGGGAAAATAACGGCCACACAAATGAGCCAATCAGAGTGGAGTACCGTCAATCCCGATTACATAACGAAAAATGATTGCAACAGCTCTTACTCAACGACCAGGCCGCAGCACTACTCACACATAAACACACGTTACTCATTAAAAACTATGTTCGCATATCGAAACACTAATAAATAAATATATATCTATATACATATGTATATTTAAAAACTAAATGTAATCAATTCAAACAAATTTTTAATTCTACATTTTGATCGAAGTGTGTCTTTGCAAAAGTCTTGAAAAGTGTGTGCCATCCCTCATAAACATGGGAACTACGTACAGACAAGTATATCAGGAGAAAACAGAGTTTACACAATCATAACAAACTTCAGCGTCACCAGTTTGAACTGTGAGCAGCTCTGTGTAACGTCTGCAGGAACAGACAGGTGACTTGTTATATGCAGACACAGCACTGGCTCATCTCTGCAGTTAGGTGACTTTTTCATGCTTGAATGATTCCTAAGAGTTAAGAGGCGTAACCAACACCAAAGAGCTACCTCATCAGGCCAGAACGTGTCCAGCGCCCACCGTTTCACCCAGACGTCCTGTAAGTTTCAATGAGGCGTTGAGAACACATGGCTGAGCTGAGGGCTCCCCAACTCTCTGTGAAGGCTACTCACGGCCGTTGTTTAGCGCTCACAACAGTTTGCATAACAACGACTCTGAAACTGACCTCACTGTTCAGGCTCATCTGAGTCTGCTGAAGAGATCACTGCGGTCTGTCGGCGCCGCGGTCTTACCTTAACTTCAGGAAATTCTTCACAAATTCAATCCTATCAAACATCCTTGAAAGAGTAAACAAACAGCTAACAGATCATCTGCAGAGGAATGGTTTATTTGAAGAGTTTCAGTCAGGTTTCAGAG